ATATATATATATATATATATATATATATATATATATATATATATATATATGTACATGTATAGATAAACAGAGAAACACACAGAGAGACACTCTCTTGAGTCTGGGTATTGGAGGTGATAAGGTAATGTAATTTAATTTGATTCATGCTTCCCACATCCTCTGAGATAGCAAGGCATTTTCCCCCGCGTACAGTTTTATCTTTCTTTCATTCTAACCTGAGGAAGTTAAAGAGAGCACACTCTCTCGGCGAAACGCGCCGTTAATAAATCTTCCACTTTGTCTCATCATCTTCATATACAAACACACACACACACATACACATATATAGATATATACATATATAGAGAGAGAGAGAAAGAGGGAGAGAGAGAAAGAGGGAGTGAGAAACAGATAGATAGAAATGAAAATACTGTTAGATAGATAGATAGATAGATAGATAGATAGATAGATAGATAGATATGAAAAGACTGAGATATCAGTATATGAAGGTTGATAAATAGGCAGATGAACTGATAGATATACAGGAAAATTCCTTATTACCTAATGATGAAATACAACAAATATTTTTCAACTGACTAGCTTTCATTGTTAATGCACTTAATTTATTGATGAATGTTATTTGATCATTAGTGAGAATAAAAGTTTTGTATTTGTTTAATAAATCCTAGGCCTGTTCGAAGGTTATGCAAAAAGAACCTTGGTAAACATTTAAATGTATTTAAAGTATGTATTTTTTCGAATGAGAAAGAAAGAAAGAAAATGTAAAATGAAGAGAAAGGGAAGGAAAGAAGTAGAAGAAAAAGATGAAGAAGAAGAAAAAGAAGAAGTATAAGGAGAAGATGAAGAAGAATGGGATTACAAAGCAATCAAGGACAAACACAGGCGAGAGTAAATTTAAATGCTGATTTTTAAGGTTAGCAAAGCCTCTACACATGGAAGGTCGGCCCAAAATAGCCTTCATAGCAACATCTCCCACCATTTCGCTTTGTACAGTACTGAGCTTGCTTTAACTATATACTTAACTATATACAGAAAAGAGAGTGTATGACAGAGAGAGAAAGAGAGAGATATATATAGAGAGAGAGGATAGGAGAGGATAAATTATAATAATAGATAAGCGAATGGGCGCCTACGATAGTACAATAATTAGTAGATAATCTCGAAGACGCTTTCATTATGGCAAAGAATTCTAACCTCATTGAGTACCCAATTTTTGTGTCATTGTGTCAGAATAACACAAGCTTAGTAAACAAATATATTGACAAAACTCATCATTGTCATAGCTGGCAAGACTACAGGACTGAGATAGATAGATAGATAGATAGATAGATAGATAGATAGATAGATAGATAGATAGATAGATAGATAGATGTGAAAAGACAGCGATATGAAGTGTGATATGACGATAGATATAAAAAGACTGCGATAGATAGATAGATAGATAGATAGATAGAATAGATAGATAGATAGATATGAAAGGACTACGATATAAGATAGATAAATCAATCGATCGATCGATAGATAGATAGATATGAAAAGACTGCGATATCAAGATAGATATCTAGCTAGCTAGCTACCTAGATAGATAGATAGATAGATAGATGCGAAAAGACTGCGATATCAAGATAGATAGATAGATAGATAGATAGATAGATAGATAGATAGATAGATAGATAGATATGAAAAAATTGCAATATAAAGATAGATATAAAAAGACTGCGATATCACGATAGGTAGATACCTAACTAGCTAGCTACATAGATAGATAGATAGATAGATAGATAGATAGATAGATAGATAGATATGAAAAGACTGCTATATCAAAATGGATAGCTACGAATAATGACATAAATATTAAGTGTTTTTGAGGTTGCCATTACTTATTTATATTAAATATTTATTGTCGATTTTACATGTAAGGAAGGAAGATTAAGTTACGTGGATCCCTAAGTGGGAGGTCCTGTTTGTTTTAAATACCTTCATCCAAAATCTTCAAACACCAGTTCAATTTGTTAGAAACAAATATCAAACACTTTATTGTCATATATAGATATGAGTCTGGTTAAAAACCATTATGGTGGAGCACATGAGAAAAGATTTCACTAACAATGGCTTGTGAGAAATTGATATCTACAAACAGGCTCCAGAAATAGGTGGTTAGGCAGAGTTCATATGAAATGATGTGAAATTGATTTTAGTTTGTTCGACCTTGCTTTCTCTTCTCATCTTCTTTATTCTTTTCTTCTTCTTTTTTTATTGTGCTTCTTTCTTTCCTTCGTCTTCTTCAATCGGTCAGTCCGGTGTATGGATTTTCTTTCTTTTCCTCTTCGATACTTTGTTCCGAGCCTCTTCTCATTGGCCAACGTCCTTTCATTTTCTCCTATAACTCTTTCTTTCGTTTTCTTACTCTCAGTCTTGTTTGTGGAGCAGTTGCAAACTCCTCAACCGTGCGTCCAACCTCAAGTGTCTTGCAGCAGGAGCTGAGGCTGTAGTGGTGAGGTTCATGATGATGGCGGAAACGACAGAGTTGGAAATAATCAATAAGTTGCACAACGTTGCCAAGCAACAAAGGCGATGAAAGAAGAAGAAGAAGAAGAAGAAGAAGAAGAAGAAGAAGAAGAAATAAGGGTTGTAGTAATAGCAACAGATGAAGTAAAAAAAAAAGACTAATAATAAACTGACAAAGAGGAAGAAAGAGAAAAAGTACTAGTAATAGAGCGAGTAGAAAAATAGAGAAAGAAAAGAGTAAAGAGTAGGAGAAAAAAGACGAAGAGGGGGCGTCAGGAATTGTAGGAGATGAACTAAAAGAATAACGATTGCAGTAGTAGCAGTAGTACTGAAGTCGAAGAAAAAGGAGTTACGAGGTAAAAGGCAAAAATAAAGAAAAAAGATAAAGAAAAGGAAGCAGTGAAGAAAAGAGAAGAAAAAAGGAAGAGTAGTAGCAAGAACAGTAGACAAAGTAGAAAAATGCAGTAGTAGTAGTAATAATAATAGTAGTAGTAGTAGAAGAAGAAGAAAAAGAAAAAGGAAGAAATCGTGAGTAAAATGATGGAAGACGAGAAAGAGTCTTAAAGAGAGAGTGAGAAGGAGAAAATGCTGCAAAGAAGAATTTAGAAAGACAGAAAATATTTGCGAAAGATGAAAAGACTAAAGAAAGTGGGGAAATTTTAAAAAGATAAAGGGAAAAAAAGGATGTCGAAAGAGAAGAAATAAAAAAAAGAAAAGAAAAAGAAAACCGAGGTGGGTTCTAAGAAAGCAGAAGAAAAATAATAAGGGGATTATTTGGAAGAGTAGTAGTAGGAGGAAAGTTAGATATCAAGGAGAAAGGATGAGGATGGGGAGGAAGAGAAGTCGATTCAGAAGATGGAAAATCAAGGTAAAAATTAGGGTGGGGGGTGGTTGAAAGCTAATTTAAAACCTAAAAAGAATAATAAAAAAATTTTCACAAATGAACAAAATATGTTCGTCTATATTATAAAAACGTACAGATGTAAGAAAAAAAATGGAGCAACTTAATCATATGGGGATATTACATGTTCGCTGAAACTCGGAAAGCATACGCAAAGACGCGTATAAATAAAATATTTACATACCTATATACGCACATGCAAACATGAAGGAATGATGAATATGTATTTATTTTAATTTATGTATGCGTGTGTTTGTTTGCGCGTGTGCGCGCATGCGTGCATTGTTAGAACTTCTCAGCACGGTGTCAGTCATACCGGCCAGTTTGCTCTGAGAATGAAATCAAACCGAGACTTGGACACACGTACACAATTTCAATGGCGTGCCTCTACGTTGACAGCAGACAAGACGGAACAACAGCGACCTTAATATCAACATGAACATTTACATGGGTCTATCCCCATCTCTTTTTGTCTGTCTGTTTAGCTTGACTAGCTACATGCACACATACACAGATTCATTTTTGTAGGAATATAACAGAAAAAATATCCTTATGGGAAGGCCTATATTAAATAATATTTCATTTTTCCTATTAAACCGAAATCATGACCCCCCCTATGATTGTTTTCTACCCTAAAAACGTATACCTTATGACTTTTCAGGCAGTTTTTTTTTTTTTTACTATAGGTTTTCTTTTCCCGTGACTGTGTTTTTGTGCCGTGCGATGTGAAGTAATGGATAGCGGCTCGGATTGAGGAATCGGAGAGCCGAGTTCGAATTCCAGTCAAACCTAATACATTCCCTTGGGAAAGGTATGAATCCTCCTCTTCTTCTCCCCCCAGCTATGGGTAAACAGCAGGACAGATCGGGTTCTATAGCCTTGGATGACAGCTGGCCTACCGCAGAAAGAAATGGCAACCTACTGCGAGAAAAAATCTGCCTCGTCAGTTATGCATCGAAAGATACATGATCGCCTAAGCGTGTATCACGCATGGCACATGACTGATGACGTGAAAGTTACATAATTATTGATAATAATATTTTTTCTATTTACATTATTTACATTGTTCGGGCTATTGTTCTCATCTTTCCCATATTCACGACGTTTCGGCCGTTGTGCACTTCGGCCTTGTTCAATTGATTGGAATTTCGAACTGAACTCTTTATTTCATTCACCGGGGTAGATTGTTCTAGTTCTAAGTGCCATGCCTCTTCCGGATGACTCAGTTATCTCCCTTTAACTCAATTCTCCAAGTTTTTGTTCACCACTGCCGTAGCCAGGTATTGAACTCACAACTCTATGGGTCAAGTCACTGGATCCAACCAACGCTTTTATCCATGTGTCCTTGAGAAAAATGGGGAAAATAACAACGAAAGATATACACAAGGCGATGTAATAACTGCATACACAAGATAATAATTGTATAAAACGCAATATAAAACAGGGTGTGGCATAAATATCTCCCATATTTTAAATACTTACAAAAAGGATATGGTAATTGCTATCATAAAATATTCCACTGTTGTTTGAACAAAGTGTTACAGTTTTTATTCAATTAGTTTTAAAAATGACATCCTTCAAATAGTAGATTCTATTCGCCATACACTGTTGCAGACGACTTTTTTCAGTTTTCCATCACACAGAAGTTCGAGCGCTTCGAGGTCTTCTAGGTGGCTTTCTTATATCTTGTGGTCTTGAAATTTTCAACCTTTAGAAGTATCGATTTTCTATCCGGAACAGCATCATTTCGGCATAACATGAGCACGAAAAGCTCTCTGGGTTGCAATTATAGATTCACCAGTCTTAAAAACATTTAAGCAGCAAACACACGGTCCAAGCCATGATGGTAACTGATGGTATCTGAAGAAATTGTAAGGCATTCACTAGATGAAGACACCATTGCCATTTGCCTAAGTTCCCTATCACCACATAGATGATAGTTTAAAATATGGGATGTACTTCTGCCGCACCCTGTACAAGCGAAAGCAGATAGACACATATGTGAGGAAATGTAATAACTATATACGCAATTCTTTATAACACATACTTAACATCATCATCATGATCAACATCATAATCATCAACTATTCTTATCAGCGAGTAGATGGTCAAGACCCTTTTTTATGACGGTTTCGTATCTTTAAAAGGTATATTCAAGATATGCAAAAAAATTGTACTCTGTTAATCGCGCTAAAGATTAGTGTATAATCTGTAAAAATAACGGGAAATAGCGTACAAAAGCAATACAGTACAACAGAAAACAGATAAACACATACACGAGGCAATGTAATAAATACATACACAAGATTTTATAATAACTACTTAGCAACAGCAACAGCTACTTTCGCCAGTGAGTAGATTTCAAGATGTATCTTTGTTATTGTTTTTGATGGCTTTGAATTTTAATAGGTATTTAATAGATATCTTTTCTATACAGAAGGCACAGAAATTGTCAGTGATGTTCGAGTTGTTGAATTGTTCTTGTGGTCTTGCATGTTTCGTATTTAGGTTGTGCATCTGATCTTCGTTTTCTTTTTATTTCAAAATGGTAAATATCTCTCCAAGTTGTCCGTCGCACGCAAACGCTTTACAATTGGACGTTTGAATCTAGCATATATTTGGAAGATAATCTTAATCCCTGTATTTTTTCTCTGAGTCTTATCCCTTGAAAGATTACCTGAAAAGCTGTTGTATCCTTAAAGAAGGTTACAAACAGACAAAGGTTGTACTAGTGTGAAAAGAAGAGCAACACGGGCGTAGATAAAAGGAAGAGAGGTTTATTGTAAAAGAGAATACACAACTGAAAGATAGGGCATCGGTTACCAAGCTAGTAATTCCCGAAGCAAGTCCGCCAGGTATATCCTGTGCTTACTACTGATATAGTCAGTCCATATAGGCGATAGGGGATGTGGGACATTCCATTACAACAAAAGCATATAGAATTTACAGCCTTAATAGTCAGTTGATTATATTAGAAACATATCTTTGCCAACTCCTATTTGATTTAGCAAAATACTTAGTAACCCACCTATTGTAACCTTCTAGTGAAAGGTAAATGATTTGAAAGAAAAAAGACCATAGTAGGTATTGATGACTAGCCAAAGAGATTGGAAAAATTTCAATGTGCTGGCAACAAGCCGCTATCACTACGACATATGAAGTCTTTACTATGTGACTTGGAATCTTATAGCAGCGTATGCAATAATATTTTTGTTTTGAGATGAGTTCTTGCTAAAGATTGAATAATCTCTTACACTCTGCTAATCTTTGTCTTCGTTTGTATTATCGGCACGAGACAATATGGTTGAGGCGCCAAATAAACCTTCCCCACCCGCGTTTGTTAATCTTTACATTTTTTTTATCAACTCCCCAGAGATTATTAGAACTCCCAAACCTGTTCATTAATTTTTGAATAGTCACCCAACTCAATAGATTACTGGGAAATTTTGTTTTGACGTGTAATCTGACGAGAATGCACTGAAAACTTGGCGAAATATCCTATGTGTTCGATTCATTTTTCTAACTATAAACTCTATAAATACAACAGCATTCAAAATGAGTGAACTATTTTTGATTTCATTGACGTATTGTAAGATATTATTTGAGGATGTTGCTGGATATATATTATTTATTTGTTGAACATTGATATTTATTTATATTCTAATGTTGGGAAGATGTAATGGAAACATATTCGATTTTGTTATAGCATTCTACTTAAAGACATTTTAGTTTTATTTCTTCGTGTTGGGTACCTCGATGGTGGTGTGATGGTTAGCAAGCTTTTCTCCGCTGTTCGTCGCTTCTCGGGCGAAACCGCGGTGACGCAAGCGAGCCCAGAGACATCGCCGAAAGCCCCGAGGAAGAGTTCTCTCTTCTTTGTAAAGGACCGTGTCCGTGGAATCGGCTCGTCGGAGATACGGAAAAGGTACCTGTAGAGCGCCGCGGCTCGGGCGGCGTCCGGTGCGATTTCGGCGGCCCTGGAAAATCCGGGTCCGGTTTTCGCAGCTCTCGAGTCGGTCCGTACCACCATCCGCAGCAGGTCTCCAAGGTGTACAGCCTCTCGTCGATGGCATCAATGTAGGTAAGGGAAGTCGGAAAAATGGATCCGTACCTTCGGAAGAAGGATTGGCTCCGAGGACCGGTATGGGGCTGTAACGTTCGCTCCGTTCGCGCTTTGCGGCGCGGGTTTAAGGTGTCGTAGCGGTCCGTCGGCGTTGCGGCGTCGCGGTCGTGCGCGAGATCGGGTCGGGGTGTCGCAGGGTCGGGCTAGGCGGCGTTCGGCGGCGGTTTTCGGATAGGGGCGACGGGCGTGCGCGTTCGTGCTAGATCAATTACGGCTGAGTAGTGAGTTCGATCCTCACTGGTATATATATACTTGTATACATCTGAGCTACGCTTGGAAAATCACTTTATTTCTTCGTGTTTTTTTTAAATCATTTCATCCCAAGCAAGGAGTCTTGTTGGTCTCCCGCTCAACTGTGACACGCACCTAATAATCAAGGGGGGGTTGCAGTCTTGAGAGAGATAAAGCTACCGAGATGGAAAGGGTTACTGAATGTTACTATTAAGGAGAACCAGAATTAAGAAGATAGAAGATAATGATTGACATTGCATTTAAATTTTTGGAGATCAAAGTTGACTGGAAAGCACGAAGCCGGTATGGACTTCCACAAGCGAGAAAAAATATTTAATTCAATCATTTAAATAAATTATAATAATATTAAATATTTAAGCCATTTTCAAATTTCTCCGAAACGACGTATTCCCCCAAAAGCCTCCATTACTTGTTAATTTTTGGATTTTTCCAACACTATCCCAGTGCTTATCAGAACCTCCACCTGCCAATTATTAATCTTTGATTATCCACGGCCACCCTATTCAATAGATTGCTAGAAAAGTTTGTTTTGTACTTCGATGAGAAACCATTGCACCGTAAACTTTCTTTTGGTGAAATATGTTGTCCATTCGATTCATTTTCAACTTTAAATTCTATAAACATAACAGCATTCAAAATGGCCTAACTACGTTTGCTTTCATTAACGCATTTGAAGATATTCAAAAGTCACTCACTTTTATTTATATTGTAATGTTGGAAAGACATTTAATGATAGAGAAATAAATACAAATAAGAAGACCAAAATTTCACCATCTCTAAAAATAAATGGATAATTAGTATCGCCAGGCCACAATGCCATATTTCGACCAACCAATCAGAAAGCTTTCACAATCAGGAAGTAAGAAAAAAATAAATAATAATAACAAGGGGACCAAAATTTCACCATCTCTACAAATAGATGTATATTTAAAATCGCCAGGTCACAAAACCATAATTCGACCAATCAAACAGAAATCTTTCACAACCTGGATATAAGAAATAAAACAAATCATAACAGGGAAACCAAAATAACATATATTATTGTGTATATATTATTTATTTGTTGGCCATTAACGTGTATTTATATTGTAATTTGGGGAGGACGTAATGAAATATATTCGATTTTGTTATAGCATTATACTTAAAAAAAAGTTTTATTTCTTCGTGATCTTTGAAAATGTTTTTAATCGTTTCAATCACCCATTTATTAAGATTCATACATTCCCGAAGGGTATTTATACGAAAATACAACCGGAATTCGAACACGGATGTTCTCTTTCTATGCCGCTAACCCGCACATTCCTAACACACACACACACACACACACACACACACACAGAGAGAGAGAGAGAGAGAGAGAGAGAGAGAGAGAGAGCATTAGACCACTGTCAGGATTGTGTGCTAACTCTTTAGATATCCCTGTGGGGTCTAAAGTCGCCGTCTCACCACGCTGCTTGTTTCTGTTGTGGTTTCCCTTGCAAGTAGGGGTCGAGCTCGGAGTTGTCCTTTGACAACCAAAGCTAGGGAACCCAGTCAGCACTGCTATTTAATCCATAAGTGGGGGAGAGGAAGAGATGGATTCATAGCTTTCCAAAGCGTATTTGTGCGAAAGCGAATGTAACGAACTCGACAGGAATTCAAATACCGCTCCCTGATTCCTCTTTCCGAGCCGCTAACCTTTACACTACCTACACACCCATAACAAATTTCACACACACACATATATATATATATATATATATATATATATATATATATATATATATATATATATATATATATATGTGAAAATATATAGAAAATAGGAAGGAACTGGTTAGGTAAATAATCCAAAGTCCCTTAGTATTTTAGTTATTATTTTAAAAAATAGTGCTCGATACAAAAAGTAGAGCATAAATATAATTATTTATTTAAAAATATGATTCAAATCGCGACATAAGAAGTCCCATGTTTCAAAACAAGAGCCGAAAACTTCAATATAATTGTTTAAATTAAATTGAGTTAAAATAGGCTTATTTTCATCTTGTTCCATTTCAAGGTTCAAAAAATTTCGCTTGAAGATGGAAATATATTATATATAATATAATATAAAAAGGTAGAGAGAAGGAGAAAAAGAAAGTGAGAAATGGAGAAAAAGAACAAAATAGACACCCCAGCAGGATTGTGTAGTAACCTTGGCGACTTCCCCGTGGGACTCTTAGGGTCACCGCCTCACTACGCTACACATTTCTGTTATGGTTTTTGTTGTAAGTAGGTTTTGGCTTCAAAGCAAAGAAGAGATGAATTCATGCCTTTTCCGAGCTATTTGTTCGAAAATGAACGCAATAAACCGGCCTCAATTTCCGCCCTGATAACTGCTACGCTAAGTGTGCAACGAGACAGACAGAGAGGATTACCAACACACATACACCCACGTACAGAGAAAAACAACACTGAATTCGTTAACGAGTTACCGACCCTTGGAAATTGATGCTAATTCCAGTCAGTAATTCGGTTACCGACCGATTTTTATTAGCAAAACATAAGCTGAGGATTAAAGACATTAGTTAGCTCAGTTTGGCACAAGGCCAGACAATAAGGAACACCGAATGATAACCGACTTCACTTCAGTTTCAATGATCTTCAAGATTAGTTTACCGTATGTGGCAGCGTACAGGACGACCTTTTAACCTTAAAAATCTTCCCCTAAACCAAAAAAATAAATAAATAAATAAATAAAATAAATAAATAAAACTAAAAATAAATAAAATAACATAAATAGGCGTCTCATACTCCAGATATAAAATAACCGTCTTATACTCCAGGTATAAACGGTGAACCTTATATCCTGTGGTAAGTTGTTAGCATGAGATTTTTGACGGTAAGCTAACCTCTGCCTCGCCTCCTTTTTTCGATGATGTTCGACAAAAACACAACTGGATGTGTGTCTAAACAAGTCGTTTAAAGATCACATTCTAGAACAGTGGAACGAATGGATGGTTACCGGTGAAAAGTCATTCAGACTACCGTATTAGCCTGCTGAAATCATAGCACCCACACATGGGGTATTGTAAATTGTGCTAGTTAATTGACAATATTCCCTATCATTAGAATTTGAGTGAAAAGAAAGTATATGATTACTGAATTTATTTAAGAAATTCAATACATTTTAAAATGTGATTTGGTGGGATCGTCTTGTACGGCGAATATAGCTCGAAACCTACATTTTTAACTTGAAAATCTGGGGTTGTCTTATACGCCCAGTCGCCTTGTACGCCAGCATATACAGAATTGACAATCACTCTGCGGCAAGGTGCACAAATATTTACTCAGCTTAGATTTGCACAAGGCTATAACTGTGGGGTACCCGATGAGGATCGAATTAACTAGACAGGTAGATAGTAAGATGAACTTAGTTATCATTCTTCGGAAGTTTTTCTTTTATGTCATGCTACTTCAGAACGTAGGCGATCATGGATCTTCACATATTCCTTTTCTTTATTATCTGTGAATTGTAAAAGAGAATGAAGTGGTTCTTATTTTGCCTCCTTTACGGTTTTGAAATCAGAGTTTCCATTCTCCTAGAGAGTCGATTCTGCCTTTTTATATAAGCTCAGAGCGGGTGGGGGTAAAATGGATTCATGCCTTTCCGGAGAAAATCGAACAAAATAAAGTAAGACGGAATTTGAATTCGACTCGCCGAATTCACTTTCTGTGCCAATAACCACTACTCGACTGGAATTCGAACTCGGCCCTCCGATTCCTCAATCCGAGCCGCTATCTATTACCGTGTAATGATCAACTATCTATGCTATCTTGTTCAACATTACCCATCGACGTAAGTGTAAACTTCCAACTACTGCAGTTGTATGTTCTGACAGTGTGTGATGGATAAAATGTCGTCTAAATTATGCGAAAATGAAAATAACACTAACATCTCATTTTAACAGATATATTTATCAAAATTACACCAAAATACCTTGAAATACTAAAGGGTATATTTATTTAATAAAATCGTCATTGGCTTTAGCCTCCAGGCGACTTCGGAATCTCCTGAAACTCTTTTGGGCAGTATCCTTGTTTAAATTAGTGAATGCTGCCATAACCCTTGCTTTCAGTTCATCTTTGGTGTTGCAAGAATTGTTGTTGGTGATATGGTTGCAGAAATTGTCTGACAGCCATAACTTAGTTCTCTTTTTTGTGTGGTATGATGAAGAGTCCTATTGCTAGACATAGGGACTTCCAGCAGCCACCCTCTTGGCCCAGAGCAGCAATACCTCCTCAAGGCACCATATAGGCCTCCGTGTTCTTTGGAAAGATGAATGGAGGCATAACGTCACCATCACTAGTGATCACTCCAAACGCCTTCATAATCACCATTAGACTCATCTAACTTTTTCCGGATCCTCTACACTGTCCTCAGATTGATACCCAAACACTCTGAAATGTTCGTAATGGAGCTTCCAGCCCATGCTGTTTTCAAATTTCAAGTGGGGTAATTGCATCATGGTGTTCTTTTTCTCACAGATGGTGGCCAATCGACCCGACTATACTGTGTAGTCAACAAAACCAAAATAAACAATGCACATACGTGAAAGTAAACATATAAAATGGTGACAATTTACCAATCTCATTCCTGTGGTATACCAATGTACTATATCATCCACTGAGAGTCC